CCTTCCCTTCCCTTCCCTTCCCTTCCCTTCCCTTCCCTTCCCTTCCCTTCCTTTTCCACAAGGGTTGCAAAGCCAGCGCACTCCTCGCTCGCTGCAGCCTCCCTTCAGCTCCAATTTTCCCCGTGCAGCAGCTAGGTGGCAAAAGTTTAGTCTGGGAAACAGTGCAACCCTACTACAAAGGGATTGACGGTGGATTTTATTCTAAAAATGATGAATTAGATGTAACGAAAACCCTCCCGTTCACAGCAAACACCCCCGGCTCCCCCAAACCACCCCGCTGCTGGCTACTCACATCATATTTTTCCGTCATTTTCAGATGGAGAGCACGTTTCCAGAGAGTCCTTGCACAGCCCAAGTCTGGGAGCAAAATTAACAGGCACAAGGCTGCAGCGATGAACTTTTTGCAGAAATGCATCTGTGACAGTGCCCTGGGATCCATTTTCCCCGTGAGTGATGAGAGAAGGAGTTTTCCAGGATCCAGGCGGCTCGGAGCCTTGGCAGGGAGGGAGGGAGACGGAGCGGGAGGGAGAGCGAGGGCTGATCGCCGGAGAGAGCCACTTTTTGCTGCACAGCTTCTGGAAAGAGAAAGGAAAAAAAAAAAAAAAGAAAAAAATAATAAAAAGGAGCCCCAAGCAGAAGTCAGAGCTGCCGTTGAACTTCCTCACTCCAAGTTAGATCAGGTTCTCGGCTCACATGTTCACACAAAGCACATGCTCTCCTCGAACGATAGATGGAAAGATTATTTGGGGAGATTATTTTTAGACCTTTGTTCCCAACATCTGGCATCCTCGGCGAGCCCCATTGAAAGCCAAGGCGTGGGATCGGATGACAGCTGCCGCAGGGGGAAGCGAAGGTCTCCGAGGGGTGGGCTGGCAGCTTCCCGCAAACCGCTCGCCAGAACTTCCCGAGCCCCTCGGGGCTCCCTTTGTGCACTTCCCGCTGCGCCTGGAGCTACGGGTTCGGATCGTGTTTTGACAAAGTGATAACTTCATCTGAAGACTGCTTGAAGGAAGTTATTTAAAGACATGATAAACAGGCAGCAGCTTTATTTAAACCAAGCCGGCGTGAACTTGCTGCAAGTGATTTCGAAGAAGGAGAAGATGTGGCCATTAGGGAAAACGAACCCTGTAAGCATGGGTGGGGAACAGGGAAGGAAGGTGCCTTGGAAAGGACGTGACCGAATGGAAAGCGAGGAAGGGGACATGAGTCACCCCGGCCCTGACAATGGGACGGGGATGGGGAGACTGGATATGGGGTGCTGGGCATCTGCACGAATAGGCAGAAGGAAATCAGACTGAAAGTACCAGCCCCTGCCTGGGGCAGCAGCCACAAGCAGGTGCCAAGCAGAAAGAACAGGGCAAATGTTACCTGTGTATATATGCATATCTCTATATGCATTCATATATATATGGGTATATAATGTATGCACGCATATACTATCGCTTTGAGCCATGCCTAAGTCTCAATAGCAGCAGTTGGCTGGCAGGCAAAGGATTCCTTCTTCAAACGGGCTGGAAGAGGAAGATAGGAATCCAAAGACCAAGCGAGACTCAGGTTGCAAAAGCTCTGTAGTTAAGTGAATACTTCTGAATTATTTAGAGATAAGAGGTTTAAATCCCAAACTCACCTGCATTCTGATTGAAGCATAGCTAGGCGGCTCTAGCAGAGGGCTCAGTACATCCATATCACTGCTCTAAGTCTTCAGCTTGTGGCTTTATTTGTCATTGCTCAGAGCTTGGCCTCACACAACGGGTGGCTTCAATTCTTTTTAAGAACACATCTTGCCTGTTTGTTGCAATTATTAATACCTGCACCTTGATGAAGCAACATTCCGGCACAATTGGAAGCTGCCACCAATGTCGTGACTCCGTGTTCCAAGATGACAAATGACAGGGCCTAGAATAAACAAGTGTTTTTTATTAAAGTATTCCCACTTAATTTACACCTTTGTGCTGAAATTTTGCTGATCAGCTCTCTCGCTGAAACCCCAAGCAGCATGAAAAAGCAACTGTTCTCGATAAATCTCCCCGATTTCACTTTTTTTTTTGTTTGTTTCATACACTTGCAGTCTGGATTTGGAGCAACTAATTCTAAAGATTAATAGCTAGCACATAAAACCATTTACCAGCCTCTCTCTCGGCAAAAATGCAGCTTTGACATTTGCCCAGGAGAAACGAGAATCTGCACCTTATAGTTCACAGACTGCATGCTGAGAAAGTGGGGATGTTCCTGCATTTCCTCCTTTCAGCAACTGTTGTGGACTTCACATAAAAACGACCGCTGGTGGGATAATACTGAGGCCTCACGTGCTCAACAGTTTTCATTTCAGCTTCTCCAAGGAGCACATGCAATGCCTGGACTGGATTATCCCTATTTTGGTTTGGGGAAACTGAGGAACTAGATCTTTTGCTGAGCATTGCAGCACACCTATACACACATATATACGTCTGTATGGATATCCAAGGTCGCTCCAGAATTGCAGGAAAAGCAGGGGAGCCAAGCTACTAAATCCATCATGACTTATGTTTAGACATCATGACCCAAGCTCTTCCCAAGCATCTTTTCACCCTATTTCCCAGCTGATATCACGGACGGGGCTTATGCAGCATAGCCCACATTAGATGTTCTCCTGTCCACATGGCCATATTGCTGGAGTTATTAGTGCTGAGACTAAGCTCTTTGCTTAAGTGCACTAAACTCACACTGAATAGCTAACTCTTCATGTCACCCAGTGCCAGTCTCTGCAAGATTCTGCCTCTAGTTTCTTTTGGCCACTGGGCAGGGGGATTTTATCTTTTTTGCAGAGCTAGGAAAATCTGGAAACATTGGAAACGCAGTGTATTTCTCAGCTTTCCTGGATTTTCTTTCTCAGTTGTCTTGTGGTGTGTTGGTGTCTTTGCAAGCCATCTGTGGGAGAGTTTTATCCCATTTCTCAGCCTCACTGTCCTACTCTTTTGGAGCCTAGTACATTCCTAAAACAAGAGAAAATCTAGCTCACCAGGTCAGGAAGGCTTCCTGCTCCCCCTATGGAAGTTTGAGTTGTAAAATTCACTCTTAAACAGCCCATTCAAGAAAAGAAAAGAAAAGAAACTTTGACTTTCTAAGGAATTTCTTGTTTATCAAAGAAGCTCTGGGCAGGTTTGCGGCTCCAACTATTAATATAAAGGACTCTTAGCAGTCTGTGAAGTAATTATGGAAATCAGGCATAAATACTTAGGAAACAAGAGTCACTGGCAATAATTAGAAGTTTAAAAGGAATGTCCTTTAGCCTTTATGATTTGTTAAAGGCCTTTAGTCTAATGACCTTACCACTATGCAGATTTCAGAGCTGCGTTACTTTAAGTGCTAGGTACTTAATGTCCAATGGTGCTTTTAAAACTGTTATTACAACGGAGAGAGAAAATTAACTGCCACCTTTTGTGGAGCTACATCTTATCTGTACACAGCAGTTGGGTTATGATCATATACTCCAAGTGGAGCTACTCTATAGCAAGCTGCTGTATGGCTATTCCATATGTGATGTGGAATAAGGCAGGTAAGTGGCCCGGGAATATGCACATCAATAAGCCAAGATTTCTCTGTCTCCAGATCTGTGGTGCAGTTCCTCATGCAAAATTCCTGTGGCCTTCAAGGATGTTCCTACAGTCTGACAGCTTCATATGTCATCCTTGAGCAGAGTTCTCTTCTGTGCACGTATCTGTGTGAGTTTCCTATCCATGGATGGCTTCAGTGGGGCAGATTCTGCACTAACATAAACTGCAGTTAGATGACAGTAGCACATGACCTAGACTTCTTAGTGTGTCCCTGGGACCTGTGAAACATTCAGCATCAATCCTTATAGTACAGTGAAGAAGGGCTGATGGAGAAGGACCTGCATGGGAGGAGGGGTGGTCCATCAAGCTGGGAGAACTTCGGGATTCTTGCTGCCCATTTAGAATAAATTAAATAATGATTTAAAAAAAATGTTTTCAGGGAAGTTCTGAGTAAAAGTCACAGGGTGTTTGTGCAGTCATGGAAAAATGTCTTTGTGCAGCCAAAAACAAGTGAGGTAGGAGAGTCCGAGCCAAGAATTCCCCTTTCCCAGAGGAAAGAATCGACTCTTAGAGAAAGACTATGTCAACGAGAGAGTTTCCTCAGAGCACACAAGTCTTGCTCCATTCTGGCATCACAGGGTGACTCATTTCAACTTGATACATTCACAGCACCTTCATGCTAGTGTTCGCTGCAATTCCTTACCCATAGAGCTGTTTTCTTGCCAGACCTCTATACGTCTTTTTGCCAAAAACAAAAGGGCTGCAGTTTCCTGGTGGTTAATCAGGAGAGAGGCTGTTGATATAACCTGTACCAGTACGAACGAAAGGCTACAGCATGTTCTGCCTCCCACACACCTCCCGCTAATACAGCTGCCGATGGCCAAGGTTGATGCATAGCAGGGCTGGGAAATAGGTTCATGTGTCTTGGGGGAGACCTGCGAAGTTTGCCCGGGGATCTGCAGAGTGCCAGAGCACTTCCAGACCTTCCTGTGGGTCACACGTGGCAGGAAAACATAACCACAGTGTTCACTGGAGTGACAAAAAACAAGTTAAACCCCCTCCTCCCTGCTGCCTGCAAAGCCTCTGCCCTCAGGGTTTATCTGTCTGACTCTGACTGGGGTTTTTAGGAGAGCAGCAAAAGCAGAAGCAAGTAAACAGAGAGTGTTCTTGTTGTGGATGTGATCACAGCAAAGCCACTGCCTGATCCAGCCTCCATCAGCCAAAACTGTCACTTGGCATGCAGGGAAACCCATGGGAAGTGCTCTAGTTCCCAGCAATGACGCAGGCAGCATCACTTGTATAGTCATCCCTCCAAGGTGGCCTTTGGATACATCATCCTAACGCAGGAATATTGTGATCAGTAATTTTTTTTCTAGCCTAGGACCCCAGCCAGTGACAGGGATTACTCACTGCATGGACTAGAAATGCATGGAGCTCCTTGCCAAGTGTGTGAATGTGATAAACAAACAAGTGAATAAGAGAAACTCCAGCCTCTCAGTGCAGTAACATGGACTGCAGATGATCTCTTATTACACAGAGTGCAAACACGTACACCTCCTTGCCCAGGGGTTATTTTAGGTTCATCCCTATGGAAAGACACCAGATCTTGTTTTTCAACACGGACTCATTCCTCCTGTGAGCAGGAAACGCTGCCTGTTGTGTCTGTGCCAGATGTTTGCTACCACTGGACTCCGGTGGGGATTTATAGGATGAAATAAAAGATCAAAAGCAATGCAGAACACAGGCAGGTGATTCTCTTTAAGCATCTGGCCTAAAGGCCTCACAGAGTTTGGCACAGGTCTAAATTAAGTGCTCCCTATCCATCTGGAATGGCCTATAAAAGAGAATATAAAGTGTTTCTACTTTTAACTGGTTTTATTGCATATGAGAGATAAATTAAGAAGAATGCTATTAGACAGGCACTCTCATGAACGCTGCACCCCACTAACAAAATTAGCAGGAAGTCTTAAAACACACGATCAAAATATGATATTAATTCGAAGGGGAAATGTACTGAATGTGGTGACGAGGGCTGCTGT